GTGCCAATGTTAACAAAAGAGATATTCAATCAGCAAAGCAAAATCCTGTTTTGAACAAGGCTCAAGAAACTGCCAATGTTAACAAAAGAGGTGTTCAATCAGCGAAGCAAGGTGCCAATGTTAACAAAAGAGATATTCAATCAGCAAAGCAAAATCCTGTTTTGAACAAGGCTCAAGAAACTGCCAATGTTAACAAAAGAGGTGTTCAATCAGCGAAGCAAGGTGCCAATGTTAACAAAAGAGATATTCAATCAGCAAAGCAAAATCCTGTTTTGAACAAGGCTCAAGAAACTGCCAATGTTAACAAAAGACATGTTCAATCAGCGAAGCAAGGTGCCAATGTTAACAAAAGAGATATTCAATCAGCGAAGCAATGTGCCAATGTTAACAAAAGAGATATTCAATCAGCAAAGCAAAATCCTGTTTTGAACAAGGCTCAAGAAACTGCCAATGTTAACAAAAGAGGTGTTCAATCAGCGAAGCAATGTGCCAATGTTAACAAAAGAGATATTCAATCAGCAAAGCAAAATCCTGTTTTGAACAAGGCTCAAGAAACTGCCAATGTTAACAAAAGAGGTGTTCAATCAGCGAAGCAAGGTGCCAATGTTAACAAAAGAGATATTCAATCAGCAAAGCAAAATCCTGTTTTGAACAAGGCTCAAGAAACTGCCAATGTTAACAAAAGACATGTTCAATCAGCAAAACAAAATGCTGGTAGAGTTTCTTATTCGAAGGTCAACAAATTTGAAAATGAGGAAAGTGTCTTCCTTCCTCAACCAGTGAAAAAGGAACTAACGAAAGAGCTTCTACCAAAAATTGCGAACACTAAGCAGGAAAATAAAGTGCAACAAAATCCAAATCCACCTTTCAAACATGTTGTTCTTCCCACCGGCGAGTATGAAAAACTCGCGTATTTTGCCCACTTTTCCGAATATCTTTGGAAGGATATTGTGTTGTGCCACAAAACAGTGCAACAGGATTTGTCTCCAGCTATTATCAAGTCCAAAATTGAAGAAATGGTAGAATTGTACAATGGTCTCATTGGCAAACCAAACGGGCTTGAATTGTTTGGTCCAATGCAAAACTCAATGTCCAAGGATGTGATTGATGATGAAAATCGACTTGGCGAGACTTTGGGTGCGTCCTGTGATGCTTCGCTTATGAAATTGGCTGACATGTGTGCTGGATCTTCTGCGGCCTCGGCTCGTATGAACCTTTCCACTCCTGTCGCCGCCATTTCATCTGTGAGCAGAGCGGACTCTTCTAATGGTGCTCGTAAACCTGTTGGTAATTCAATTGAGGTGAAATTGGGAGGTTTTGATAAGACCTCAGGTCCATATTGTGATGCTCCGCTTGTGAACTTGGCTGACATGCGTGCTGGATCTTCTGCGGCCTCGGCTCGTATGAACCTTTCCACTCCTGTCGCCGTGAGTTCAACTAACGGTATCAACAATAAAAGGGGCCCTTCATCCAGAATTGGTCCCTTGAACAGACCTCCCATAATACCTACCTCTACCTCGGCTCGTATGAACCTTTCCACTCCTGTCGCCATAAATTCGTGTAGGCCACTCGAAAGACCGGCGATTATACCGCTAAGGTATATTGAGCGCAACTTCCACACTCTAAACCAATGAATTTTGCTGACATAAATAGTATTATGTCTTTGCCATTAACAGTTTAGTCTAACAATTTTCTATTTCTATTTTTCTTTTCTCTTGTTTTTTTTTTTTATCCCATTTGAACTATTTTTATCTGCTTTAATTGTTTTTAATTTAATGAAAAAATTATCCAAAGAATCATCTTCAGTGTATCTGAATTCCCCAATATCTTGTGGGAGTTGAAATACCTTCATCAGGCTGCACAGCGACATTAATGTGCACACAACATATCATCCCATTAGTGAACCGCATAACTTAAACGATAATAATAATACGTTAAATCTTCAAGAGCTTTAGTGATCATTATTCCTATCTTCAAAATCGCTTACCAGTAATATAATCGGCTTCTCACGATACAGTATGAGAGCACATTGGTTCTCTTGCCATCTATTCAAAATTCCTCATTTTTTCTTGAACTCCCGATAAATTGCCCTGATAAATATAGCATCTGGTATTATTATTTTAGCCTTGAAAATCACATCAATCTTTACTTGTTGCCTACTGGCGATTCTCTTAAATTTCAGCTCAAAGGAAAAATTTCACATATTTCAACATTTGGAAGTGGCATTCTTCAATATTGACAGAAAAGTTGGCTATCTTGAAATTCATCAAAGATGGTGCCACTCTGTCTGCAGATCCAGTTGCTAGAAACTATCGGTTTCAAAAAGAGAGCTTCCATCAAGCCTATTGTCGTTTTACAATAGCAGTAGACTTTTGCTATCAAAAGATATTCACAGAAATCAAAAAGCCTTGGATGGAAATTGCGAAACCTACTGGTCATTCCTAGCTCTCTACAATTCAGGCTCTTCTTCAATTCAACCAGACGTGATGTCTGCAGAGCACAAAAATAGAAAAAAAAGCACGCATTATCTTCGCGTTCATGGAATTGCTATTATTTGCCACCATTTATTTTAGCTTCTTGGGTGTTCACCCACAGTGACATATTCATTGGCCCCGCAATCAAAATTCCGGGACTCGACACGTTAACCATTTTGTCCAAGTGTTTGTTTTAGCTGAATAAAAGTTGTACTAGCAAGTTTAATAGTATCAAGTTTTATTCTTGATACCAGGGCAATACCAATTACTGGTGGGGTTTCTTTAGATGTTTTCTTTCGGGTTTTCACGTGAGATTATCACTAACAACCGAAGGGAGTACGATGAAGAGTTGACTTCGTAATCCAATCTCGATACTTATCTTTACCAACATCGAGTTAGATATATGATAAGAATATCAGATATTATTACCGTACTTGGTCTCAAGCTATCTTATCGGACACACAATTCAAACAAGTGGCTTATTTTTAGCAACTAGTTGTTAATCTCTATTAATAGTAATAAACCACAGAAGGTGAATATATATATAGTGAATAATAGTACATGAACGTGGTTTTCTTCTAAACATGAATAAAAAGTTATTAATAATAATAAACAATAAAAGTATGTTAGCATGATAAAATGTTAAGTAAGATCACCATATCCGCGATACATCTGTACAGCTCCTACCATACATTCGTTCCCATTTCTTGAAAACCATAATCACGTGATATTGTTGATATTATTATAGACATCCGGTTTTATAGAAAGTAGCACAGAATTATGGAAAAAATGAGTATAATTTGATTAAACTGAGTAGCTTAGAGGCTTATAGAGCCAGTCACATAAAAAAAAGAAAGGAATTAATATGAATTTTATATACTGTTGGTATGAATAATTAAAGTGCAATAGTATGAACTATTTTTCTTAGATGGTCTGAATAAATCCCGCTGCGGTGGTACGAAAAATACCGAGGGTCGGTATGAATTATTTTTTGCCACTGGTATGAACATTTCCGGTGGTTGGTACGAATAAAAAATGAAAACACTGTACTATAGTTCAGATGTGCGTAGGGGTAGGCACTAACGGAAAAACAAGACAAAACAAACAGAAAAAAAGAAGCAAAAGTGAATGCGAGGGATACATCATAACTGAAAATTGAAAATGATATAATCTCTATAAAGAATTTGTCATGTCCTGATAGAAATTACTCAGTTAACATTTGTGTTTAAGCCTAAGTGATTGTCTCTATATTTGATGCATAAGCAATTGACTTATCAAAAAATTAATACAGGTATCAGGTTTGGAGATTAGAAGAATTCCAACATTTCCGACTAGGATATGAAATAAAATTTTCTTCTTATAAGTAGCTGAAAACGGTAATGTTCTTAGCGTGTTGTTTACAACTATTGAATATTCAATGTTCATAATAAAAAGCCATAACATATATAGGAAAAATAGGAAAAAAATTATGATTTTAGAGAGTTCAACTTCTACGGCTTGGCATAGTGAAAAAAAGAAAATGAAATGAATTTTTTTTTATCCAGAATTCAAAAATGAGACATAAGATATTTCTGCACCAGGATAAAATCTCAGAGTATCAGGATTAGATCTAAATAGAAGTAGATATAGAACTTAAAACTTATTTTTATATCGAAATCACCTGGATTAGCTGGTTTTTGTGGTCATTGTTTTTTGTGATTATTTTTTATTGAAATAATAGAGGTACAGTCACAAACATCGTGTCTACCGAGACCACCTGAGCCTGCTAGATCACCTGGACTACCTGGATCAACTGGGCCATTACTTGGAGGAGAAGGTAGCGGTGCTGGGGATAATGATGGAGGTTGAGGTGGATCTTCATTGTATTTTTTGTGTTCAAGAGTGCAGTCTTTTTGAATTGGAGCCGCAGTTGCGGCAGATGCCAAAAAAATGGAAGAAATAACAGCAACAGAGAGCTTCCTTCATGTTGGTGTGGAACTATTAATGTTGTAAACAAGTGATGAGATTAAAATTATGATAATTATTGAATGTGAATTTGTAGAATTTTGGCCTCCTTATATAGATTATAATCTTTTTTTTTTTTTTTTGTGACTCCTCGGTGTATGGAATGTTAGAAATTTTATGTGTTGAAATGCCGAAATCTCTGCATATTGTTTGTTCTACGCCGGAGAAGGTGTCGGCATTTATGACACCGAAAGATTGTATTTTGTAGCTGTTTACGGGGATATTGGTATCGCTCGGTAAATTAGATAAAATGGATAAATTTATCTTTATCTTTTCATTTATTCTTTCTTATTTTTATTGAACATTATTTTCTGGTTTTTGTCTCATATTTCAATGCCTTCTTCTTCTGCATATGTTTAATGCAAATTTTGCAACTTCCTAATGCAGCACGAAATTTAATAATGATAATAAGTATGGTTGCTGCTTTCTTTTATTTTGTTTTTCTTTCTTCTATTTATCTCATCTCTATATAAAGTAACAGTCTCTGATAGATACTTGAAAATTCTATCAACAATTGCAATCATGTGCGCTGGAATTTCATGTTTCCCCGTAGAGAAACTACCAAACGAATTGATAATCACAGTATTGGAAACTTTAGATCCTTATAACATTCTATTTTTAATAAAATTTCTTCCATCTAGTCACAAAGTATACGAATGTTCTTTGTTTTTGTTGCTTCATACAATTCAGGTGTATTACGATAGTGAAAATAAGAAACTTGGGTGTTTTGAGGATATTTTCGAAATTGCGGACGAATATCATGATTGTACTCGTGGTCTGTTCAAAGAATTTATGAAGCCAATTTTCTTGATCCATTGCGAGAACCTTCCGAAAATTTTAAAATATCAATCAGCTATCAAAAAGCTCGTGATATGCGAAAGAAAGGACAGAATTGTTACTAGGGCACCGCCTCTAATAGATGACAAAAATTTTGAAATTATTCAGCTGTTCTTAAATAATTGTTCCAATATACACGAAGTTGAAAATGCTAGTGGCTTAAACCTCCGTTATCCTAACTTAACAGAAATTTTAAGCGAAACAGGAGAATATTCTCTGAAAACACATGATGGCTGCACTATTGTGTTAAGAAACTTGTCTCCAGAAATAAAACAGCTAAACATTAAATGGAAAAGAATTGCTTTTGACCTGAAAGCTTGTTTCCTCAAGTTAACTTATCTTGTGATAGAATTTCACCTGTTAAAGGACTTCAAAGATCTCCTAATCAATAGATATCGGTTCCCATCTTTGAAAAAACTGGTATTGCGTTGTGATAAACCTCATCATTTGGTATTGGTAGGTATGGGATTGGAAACTATGAACACAATCGACAGTTCCTGTTATGAAGCTATCAAGAAAATTCTCCCAAAGCAAGCAAATTTTTTGAAGTCTTTCAAACAAAATTTGGTGATCAACAGGTGTGGGACTTCGATGATCCTTGAGATTTTGCAAGATTGCAAAGCTTTAAAAACCATTGATCTATCTGGTAACCGTATTACATTAATTAACAATATGTTTTACAAATTTGAGAATCTAATCTCTCTAAAACTTGAATCTAACCATATTAGGAATATAAAAAACTTGAGCGGGCTTGTAAACTTGGAATGGTTGCTGGTAGCATATAAACAAATTGAAAGGGTTGAAAGTTTAGATTTGCCTAGGCTCAAGAGCTTGAGCATGAGTGGAAATCGATTAGAAGACGTTGGTTATTTGCATAGGCTAAAAAATCTGAAAGAATTGGGTATATCCTGTAATTCTTCACTTAAGAGCTTTAAGTGTTTATATCAACTCAAAACTCTTGTTATTCTACATTGTGATCGCGGATATGAGAATCAATACCATATAAACTTTGAAAGGCTACCAAAATTAAGAACCCTCAATACTGGTCTTAACTATCTTCAATTTAGTGAGCCCATAATCTTCCCTAATTTGGAGAAATTTGTTGTGAAAAATTATAAAAATCTAAGAATGTCTATTTTGAGTGCGAAGTTTCCTATTTTAAAGGAGTTGGATCTAACCGGAATCAAAATCAATGATATCACTCCTGTTGGTGATATGATACACTTGGAATTTTGTATGTTGTCTCATTCAGGGGTAAAGGACATAAGGTGCCTTGGAAAATGTGCCAAACTCAGAGAGCTTAACTTATCAGATAACCACATAATGTCAATTGATGGAATCCTGAATCTTAAATTTTTGGGGTTCCTTGATATTCAGTATAATAAGGAGGTTTATTGGGAAGATGTTGTTTTTAACTGGCCACTGATGACCTATTTGAATCTCTGTGGATGTAATATTCATCATTTTCCGAGTCTTGTTACTCCAAAATTACTAAAGTTAGATTTACTGTTTAATGCAAATCTATGGAGGGAGTTAGATCGATTGAAAGAGATTAAAAGTTTAAGATATTTGGTATTTAGACACATTTCTCCTGAGAAGATAAAAGAAGTTCCGGGCCAGATTGTCCGTTTGGAGTCTAGAAGTTACTATAGTTATTCAAATGAGATTACAATTTAATTTTTAACTCTTCATACTTATGTTATATGATTTTTATAAGAAAAAATGGGATATTGATCTTAATAATATGCAGGCTTCCGACATTCATGTCTAACTTTCCTCTTTCGCAGTATTATTTTTCTTAAGAAACTTTCATTTTAATAATAAAGAGCTGAAAGAAGGTTAATGAGTGGGAAGACTGCCATAATTTAGATAAATAAAAACTGATGAGAAAAATTTCAAAAGCCACAACTACATACTACTAAGGATACAATCACCTTCTCAAAGAAAAAAAGATTTTTTGGTAGATATTCCCTTCCGAGCGGTCGCCGTCTTATCTTTAGTGATTGTTGTACTGGCTTTTTTTTACAACCTAGGGCCAATCATGAAAATAATGGCAATTTACATGCTAGGGCGTAGTATGTCTCCATACTTGGGCTTCCGAATCCCCTGAATATGCAGTATTGTAGCAGATACAGAAGTAGAAACTGCCATAGATATAGATAGAAAAATTTTAGCGAAATTTTTCACGCTAAAAGAGCAAGATAGTCTTACAGTTTATGAATTTCGGGCTATGTATGTCTGCATCGTTGTCTGTACGGGGTTTGATATATTTTTACGATCCCTAGATTGGAAGGTGCACAGGAATAATCAAAAGTTTCACTTTTTCAATATTATTTTTATCTTATTATAATTTAAGGGTGTAAAAGCCACGGAGCTCGTTATTTTTTAGCATGTTATCATTACTTCGTTGGCGTCTTTTTTAAAAAAGTTAGTCGATTTTTATCGATGTGCCCCTTGCACATTTGATTATAGGCGCATCTATCTTCAAAATACCAATAATTTATATTATTCTGCCCTCACCGGATTGGAAGTGAAGGATAAGCGGGAGTTAGAGTTAGTTATCTTGTGATATTATGAAGTAATAATAATGAGTAGTTACAAGTTAGATTGGGGAATCGATGGTTTGTGTGTCGTTTATTCCAGCTTGGGATTAAATGACATCGGAGTTTATGATAAGACAAGTTCAGTCAATATCGAATGAGCTCAAAAACATAGTCTCCAGCATGTTGACTATGATGAAATCCACTATGCCTGCCCCTAATGACCATCCATTAACCGAACCAGTCTAACAATTTAAATGAATAAATAAAGATAAAATCGCCATTCCCTACAACAGTTGGCAGGTCCAGATGACAAGCTTTAGGCCTCAAATACACACCATAGACTTCTATTAGAAAGCTCAAATTTTTTTATACTATATTCACCCTACGAGATTTCTATTTCATTCCTTGTTGTATTTTGTATTGTCGCAGGTAGCTAGCTGCTACAAAAAAACTATTAGTAAAGTATTTCAGATGCTTTGTGCTCTAAATGATCAAATTCATTGAATATCACCTTCCTTTCCTCTGGGGTCACATCAGCTATGTTGACGATATCTTGGAAAATTGCTATTGAGTCGATTGGCGCAGCAAAGCTGGCGGTGACTAAACCCAGAAGAATGATTGGTAAAGATTCGAGCCTCCATATGCTTATCTTTGTTGTTAGAGAGGAAATGGTAATAGGAAATGAGTGATATTACTGAAAAAAATATGCAGAAACTTCCCTTAATTCGTTATAGTCTCTAATTGATAGAAGCTGATTTCAGATCAAAAGACTAGAACACCTCATGACGAATATTATCAACTCCAGTTTCTTGATGGTGATTTCCAAAAACTTTGGCTGATATTGGAAAAGTGCGACAAATCTGATCTCAGCAATTAATATTGATCAAGATTGACCAAATATTAGAATCTCTTGAAATACATCATTCTCTACAAGGGAGTTGATCTAGAAACTTGCTTTATGGAAGCAGGTTATAGCCCTTTTTGGTTATCCAAATTTGGATATGAGTCAGTTTAATCAAGTTAAATCAGAATTTCTTGCCACGATTTTTATCAGAGAAAGAAGATTTCAATTTAAAAACCCCCAGTATTTTCATATATGCGCGCTAGATACCTCAAAATTTTGAATTACTGAAAATCACTTCAAATTAGCAGATTAATAAGTGTCGCCAATTCTTCTAATTCCAAACCATAGCCCCCCGATTTATTTCCAAAAAAATATCTCTTTTTACCAGCTAAGATGAATTCCGTATCAAGCCAGAAGCATGTTACATTCCTGATTGGTGAGCATGATACCAGTTTAACTATCTATATGAATATTTGAACCAATTTCCTTCTTTGGTGTAACTCATACTGATAATTAGTGATAACAGCAATCACAAAGAGTATAGCACCCAAGCACCCACACTTTTTCCATTTGTGATTCCTAACTTTTTCAGGAACTTGTATTGTTCATCATGCATTCAATTCTCTTCTGCAAACACTCAATGCGACGCCAATATTATTGTATCCCATAATATCATTCTCCTCACTTATCAATATCAACATGAAAGGCATTAGACTGCAGTGTCTAGATTATAAAATCTGTATAGCCTTTATCATTTACCCTGCCCAAAGGAATTGTGTCATGTGATACAAGATCGATTTTTTTTTTTTTTTTTTTCCTGATCTGTTGGTTTTCAAACGGTTTTTGTAGGTAACAAAGTTCAAATAACAATAATATATTCTACAATACAAAACAATAAGAAATCATGGCCACTTTGGACTTCTCTCCTGATATCACTACGGAGGAAACGTACTCCCTTGCAGGTAAGCAACTCAAGCTTACAACTGAGGAAGATATCAAACCATATTTGGAAGAACTTGCCAAAGTGAAACCTCTTAAGAAGATTGATTTTTCTGGTAACACTATTGGTATTGAGGCTTCTAAAGCTTTGGCGGAGGTGATTGAGGCACATGGTGCTGATATTGAGGAAGTAAACTTCAGTGATTTCTACACTGGTAGATTGAACACTGAGATCCCTCAATCTTTAGAATATTTGTTGCCAGCGCTATTGACTTTGCCAAAATTATCCATCCTTAATTTGAGTGATAACGCCTTTGGTTTACAAACCATTGATCCAATAGAAAAGTTTTTGCCAAATGCGGTTGCCTTGGAGCATTTGATCTTGTCCAACAATGGGATGGGTCCATTTGCTGGGGCAAGGATCGGGAAAGCATTATTCAAGTTGGCCCACAACAAGCAAAATAGATATAAAGATGGCGAAGTCAGATACTTGAAGACATTCATTTGTGGTAGAAATAGATTAGAAAATGGCAGTGCTGACTATTTGTCATTGGGTTTGAAGGCCAACAAGAACTTGGAAACCATAAAGTTGTACCAAAATGGTATTAGACCTGCCGGGATTTCCAAATTGGTCAACAATGGGTTAACTGACTTGAAGCATTTGAGAATTATCGATTTGCAAGACAACACAATCACCAAGAAATCGTCTTCCCACTTAGCCAAGAACTTGAGCAGTTCCAACTGGACCAACCTTAAGGAATTAAACTTAAATGACGCCTTATTGCAAAAGAAGGGTGGTTATGAAATTTTGAAAGCCTTGTCGGATGGTAAACCCCACAATAATTTGAAAAAACTAAAGTTGCAATTCAACGAATTGGACGAAAAATCTTTGGAAATTTTGCCTGCCTTGATTGAAAAGAACTTGCCAAATTTGGAGCATTTGGAAATCAACGGTAATATTTTCGATGAAGAATCGGACGAACTTGTTGCTATCCAGGAAATTTTTGATAAAAGAGGTTTTGGTGAATTAGATGAATTGGATGAATTGGAAGAACCAGACTCTGATGAAGAAGACGAAGAAGAAGAAGAGGAAGAAGAGGAAGAAGAGGAAGAAGAAAGTGAATTTGATTCTGAAGTTGCTGCTGCTGAACTTCTCGAAGAGCTCAAGAAAACAGGTGAAGAAGAAGAATTGATTTCCAAACTTGAGAAGACACACATTGCTTAATTTTTTTTACTTCTAATGTTATACATGACTTATTAAGCTTTATCTTTTGATATTTCCCTCTTAACTGCTGTATTGTTTAATCTCTAATATTCTTTTGTTGTTAATTTTTCATTTTTGAAGCCTTTTTTGATTTTGTATTTTGATGGTAAAGTTCTGACACATAATTTCCTCTCCCGTTGTCAAATAGAACTATCAACTCAGATCTGCCAGCATAGAAGTGCAGCTTAACATCAAACCAGAGAAATCTTTTCGGCCGAGCTGACAAAAATTTTAAAGCATTATAATTTTCGCGGTGTATTTCAGGTGGTGAGTGAAGGAAAACAATAGTAATTATTATTCAGTGATTAATCTATTAGAACACGGATTTACATGCTTACATACAATATAATATAATATAGTATATACATATATACCTACACCTGGTAAAACAAAAAGTCACGGCTCCTAATGCTACAACCTTTCTGTAGATTTTTAATGTTAATTTATTTCGTTTCTTCTCCCGTCATCGTGCTCTTATTTTTTCCCTCCTCATTTCGTCTGTTCCTTATTGTGGCACTTTGACACGGTCGGGTAAAACTTGTTCCTTCCAAAAAAATTAAGAGGATCACATATATATTTCACCAAATTGATAGGATCATCTGCCAATATCCAGGACATTGACACAATATCATCGCAGCTTATGTTTTGTTCTCCAAGGTCTTTGGCTACTGGCCTTTTAAAAACCAACAGGCCCATTTTTTCTCTGAAAAAAACATCAATTGCATCATTCAGAAATCTCTCGTCAACTCCGTTATTTCCCCATCAAATCACACAAAAGAATGTTAGAACATCCAATATAATATTTAAACCGTTGATCCCGGTTAGACATTTCTCTAACTCTAGGGAATCGTTTATCAAATTTTGGAGGCATCAAAATCGACCATCTGCTGGTGTGTTTCGTCCTTCTGGGAAATGTGATACATCGGCTGGGAGAGGTAGTTTTTCGTCAAAGAGATCACTTGGTCTGTTCAGTAACATTGCGGCATCTAACCTTTTGACTGCTTCATTATTTACTGTTGGATCTTGCGGATTGCTTTACTTTGTTTCCCCGTTCTTGTTCAACAAAACCCCTCTCAAATACTTCAAGAAGCGTCCGGACCATTTAGTGTACTTGATCATTGGATTGAACATTGGTGTTTTCTTGCTTTGGAAGGCCCCAATGGTACAAGCCCACTTGTATGATTTTTTTGTCATGAGATCTGCCGGAATGGCTGATTTCAGTATTTGGCAAATGATTGGCGCGACGTTCAGTCATAAAGATTTTACACACATCCTTTGTAATATGATTGCAATCCAATCATTTGGCACGGCGTTGTGTCTGTTCATTGGTCCTGCCAATTTCTTTTCGTTATACTTGTGTTCTGGAATTGTTGGCTCGTGGTTCTCTATGGCTTTACCTGCCTTACTCAACATTCCAGCCTACGCTTATAGTTTGGGTGCCTCCGGTGCAGCATTTGGTGTTTTGGGGTGTTTCAGTTGGTTTTTCCCAACTGCTGGCATTTCGCTCTTTTTCATTTCTATCCCTGGAGGTGCTTGGGTTGCATTTGTGGGATCGATTCTTATCAATGGTGCGGGTGTAATTGGCCGTTGGGGAGGGATTGACTACGCTGCTCATTTGGGTGGATCTGTAGTTGGTTTATTTTTTGGTTCCACTTTGGCAAAGAAATTGAAAAAATACCGTTGGTAGTTTAGTACCAACCGTACTAAACTAAATGATTACATTCGAGATTTTTATATGTCAATAGAAAACAAATTGTTCATTTTGCATTTTATAATACACTAAACTTTGTATAAAACTAGAATTACTGATGTAGCAGTGAGTGATAGAATTGAATACTTTAAGGAAAAATAAAAGGCAAAAAAAAAGACTGGTAGAACTGAAAATATTGGAATAATGAAAGTAGGCGAAGGAGGAAGCTAGTCCTTTATCTTAAAAAAAAAAAAAACTTTGAACAATCAGTTTGATTGTCTTGGTAGGTATTTAACATGTCCAGAACAGGTTGATTTACTAACGGCATCAATCTTGACCAAGTCATCATTCAATAAAGAACCTTGCACGGTGTGGAAGTACCAGACTTGGTTGAAGGCCCCGTTGGAACAACCGATAAAAACATCGTTACCGAACCCAGCCTTCAAAGCGGCAGAAATTTCATCAGCAGAGTAAGTTTTGGAGGAAGATGGAGTAATCCCAGCTTTGGCTAACCATTGGTAAGTTGGTAAACCTTGGTAAGTCTTGACCACCAACTTAGCAAAGTCAACTACATTTGTGTTTGAAGCAGTACCACTAGCATAACATTGAGTACCAAGAGTCGACATGCAAGTACCATGTTTGTTGAATTCATGGGTCCACAATTCCTCATTATCACCGTTATTGTTCAACCAATATTGGCTCATGTAATTGACCAAATCAGTCTCGCCAGCGTTCTGTAAAACGTCGGAAACACTGCTAACTTGAGAAGAGAAATCACAATTGGCATCATACGAACCATCACACTTGTCTGGCCATAACCCATGGATGGTCCATGTGTTTTCTGGAGAGCCAGAGACATCAGTATCCCAGAATTGGGTTTGTAAGATCAAACCTTCGGACTCCACACAACAGGAGTCGCTGCCAGAGGAGCCAGAAGTGGAGCATGACACCTGAGATCCAGAAGAAGTGCATTGGGATTGAGTGAGAGACAAATCCAAATCTCTTTTAAAAACGGGTGGAAGATCAATTGGAGAGGCGTTGACGGCAGAAAGCAAAATGGAAAGAGCTGGAATAGAATAGATGAACTTCATTGTTGGTTTTGGTTTTGTTTGGTTGTGTATATTAAGTATCCATGAAGTAATCAAAGTGCAAAAGTTATTATCAGGAGCTTCTTCTATTTATATAAATATTGGGGATATTCTTCGAGGGTTCTTGCAACTGAAATTAGGCGGTGCACGATGTGTCCATGTTGGGGCATTCCCTTAGAAATGCATGCCTTGCCGTGTTGGTAAATTCCGGTGATGCCTCCTGTCATAATAATAGTAGGGGGTACCCAAACACATGAGACAGTACCTATTATAATAATAGAAACAAAAAAAATGGAAATAAGACACCTCAAGTAAGTATTAAAATTGGTATTATTACAGTGAATAACGCCACGGGAGCTTGCTGTCTTTCTCTTTTTGTCGTTTCTGTGTGATGTGTCAAGGAACACAAACTGGTGTAATTGCAGCCGCGCAGAATCGTGCTCGTCGACGTATAGGGCGTAAAAAAACGTTGAGACTGGACTACGACGCGGACTTTACAATCGATTCTTCCTGCGGTGTTATTAATCTGCCACGAAGAAAAATACGGCGGAACTTGCTTCAAGATAATAATAATAATAATAAATCTATATATAGGATAAAAGGTAACAAAACATTACTCAGTTGTGGTCAATGAGAATGGCTCCGTATCTATTGTGATGACTTCTCCTTCACCACGTAGAAATTGTCTTCTTTGAGCTTGGCCAATTCCACAGGACACCAACTATCGAGGGTCTCACCTTTCGAGATGGCACCCTTTGACCCTCTAACACGTTGCACTGCCGACATCAATGCCTTGAAGCTCAAGCTTTCGTTGAACTTGTTTAAGTTTCTAGCATCTTCCCCTATTTTGAGCTCCAGACTTGGCACCATTTGCAAGTGGCCGAGGAAATATATTTGACTATTCAAAGCTTTTAGTAAAGTAACCTGCTCTGCTTCTGATTCTGGAAGCTTGAGACCACTGATTTCTACCAAGCTGTATAATTTCTCCATGGTTAGTTCATCTTTATTGTCGGCATTCTTTGGTGGCGAAGAATACACCGCAGGATCCCAGGAAGTGCTTGTTGAACTTCTAATATACGCCAGTATCTCTGATACAGACGAGAACAGTTTTCCGACAAGAGAAGATTCTAATCTTTTGAATATCAAGCTCATTTTTTAATATAATAATAATAAGGCAAAATACGTGCTGTATGACTCAGTCACTAATGTTTCCACTTTTTTTTTTTTCGTTTGGTTTTCGTTGTTTTTTATTCCCTCAAAAAGTTCCAGAGGTTATAATGGCTGGGTATTGGTAAGAATTGCGAAGAAGAATGGTCTGTCAACTGGGTATTACCACGACAACACAACGGTGTGACCGCTTATAATCACCGACTGTTTCACTGTTATTTTTTAACTTCGCTAGTAATTTTTGTCACGTGCATAAAGGTAAACAGCATCGCCGCCAGAATTTAATGAATCTTTGGAACCACCAAGAGTAAACAAACAATCCACAAGCAGTCAGCAATCATTGGACGATGGTGGTGACAACTGTCGACGACCTGAACATTGAAGAGTGCTTGGATTGTCTAAACAGGATCCAGGTGACCGTGAACCATGGGTTCCTGGAGTCCTCTATCGAGTTATGCTTGAATGTTTACCAAGCCTCGATCGAGAAGTTTAGTCGATGGAAGCAGAACAACCATCCAGAAAAAAAAATCACAGAATGCTATATTGAGGCAACAACCAAGTCGATACAAATATTGAGGGGCTCTGGAAAGTTTCGGAATCACGATATTGACGCAAGGCAACGAACCTTCATTGCCAGGCTCATCGAGATGGAGGATTACAAACAGTCTGAGTTGATCTGTTGGAAACTATTCCAAAGCTTGAAGAAACGACTTAAATCTAAGAAAAAGGGTACTATCTTGTCATCTCAGAGCTTGGTATCCTATTATGATGACGATGATGCAATGCCGAACCATAAATTGATAATTTATTCGATAGATTTCGCAGAAACAAATGACGGTAACGTCTTCCAATACATCAACTTGATGACACTATACTTACAGACGGTGCAATTGAGCTATAAGAAATCTAATAAAATAATAGGCTCTGAAGATTTACTTATGCTATTGGATGTCAAAAACTCTGGTTTTTTAAAGGTGCTATCCCAGCAGAAAGCAGAGATAAAGGTTCCATGTTTCAACTTATTGATAAAAGTCTTTAATTCATTCATTTACCTACCAACACTTCCGAGGATTCTAAAGACGCTACTAATATTAAAGTGTTTGCAGATCATTGTAAGGAATCGGGATATAATTCCAAATGTTACCTCCATTCCGTCAAATAATTGGTTCGCAGAGTTTATTAATGATGTCCAACTATTGACTAACTCAGATCAAGTGAAGATTTACAAATACATCAATAAAGACTTATACTTATTGGTATCAGAATATTTGCATGATGGAAAAATTAATGATTATTTACAATTTGATTTGGGCGCTATGTTACAGTTATTGACTAAAATCAATAGTGTGAAAACAAATAACAGTATATTAGATACTTGTGATTGGAACATTTTTATTGTCAGCTTAAGGAACACAGTGATAAAAAAGAATAATATGGATAAGTTATTGCATCTAATTATGAATAATTCAGCCATTAAGAAACCCAGTATTGATGTTGCATTCAATGAATTTGACATTGCTGTGCTCAAGAGTGACGCATTTCTAAAACGTTTACTAAGTTCCGTGAAAATTATTTTAGGCAAAACCTATACCTTTGGGATACAATCTCTATTTGTCATAAAAGTTTTGAATTTATTTTCTGTTTTCTTTAATACTAATTCAAATGGAAGACTTACCAAAAGATTGCATCTCTCAATTTTGGATATTATCACCATATATACCAAGGATTTAATCGAAACTCTTCCTGCTGATTATGATTTCGTGATCAACAATTTGGATACCTTAGCGGATGTCACCAAGAAGTGTGGACAGGTAAAGCGCTTCAGGAATATTTCTAATTTGTATTATAATATCGGGTTGAAGCTCATAAAAATCGGCTCTGATTATGCGAATTTCCCAGTCGACTCACTCACAGATAACATCAAAAATTGTATTAAAATTGAGCACATCATCTGCCTTGCTGATGCTTCCAAAGAAAATTTGGATCAATATGAATCAAAGTTGCAAAAAGTGGTGTCTATATTGATCAAATACAGCCAGCAGAAGTTACTGGTGAACATGATTTTTGAATTCTTTAAGCTTTGCCTAGATTCTTCTGGCTTCTCTGACACCTGTTTGAAACTTCGATCTAGTTTCTCAGCCACAACTGGGCTACTATTGCGATGTCTCTTACTAAACATAAACAATGAGAGTGTGAGCATCATCAGTGGTTTATGCTCGCACATTCCCACCAGTCTTAGAGCATGTATTTTTTTATGTTTGATTAAGGTTGTTCAGACATTAAAACTAGAGAATAAGAAGTCAAATATTGCTGGAATTCTATTCTCAGCTTTTATAACAGACAAAGATCCACTACTATATTTCCTTTGTTACGTTGAATATTTGAGCATCCCGAGTTTGCAATTAGATAGTATTCAAAAAATCAGTGAACCTTCGTCAGTACTAGTAACGGGGAGTGTTGTGTCAGAATATGAAATGTTGATATTGAGCGTGCTCAAGTTCAAACTATTCACCAGAAATAATATGGAACACAAAAACCCAAAATTGATCATTGAATCATTCAATTTGTTTTTAGAGTGGCTTAATCAAGAAAATTCCTACAGTCTAATCCTGAAAAGTGTGGTATTATCTGAATTTGAATCCGCCAACTTCTTATCCATGGTTTCTTACTTCCAATATTACGGATTGAAACCACAATTATCGGTTATTCTATCCAAGTACTCATTCTGCAGATCAAGTTTACTTGAGAAAAATATAGATTTGGCTTTGAAAATGATGTATGAATCTGTTAGGGGGTACATTTCTTTAGGGTTCTCAAAAGTAGTTCAAAAGGATATAAAGTACCTAGAACAATTCCTTAAACAGAAGCGGCTGCACTTCCAAGAATCTGACCAGTTGATAAACTCCTTGAGAGTGCTTTTACTAAAATTGGAATACTATTTAATGATTAATAATTTGAATAGTGCCCAAAGCACAATGGAAAATATCTTAATGTTTGTCGGCGACCATCCTGAAAGTTTTTCCACGTCTATATTGGATTTCATCAATGCTCATAATATTAATGACAATCATATTTCCCTAATGATCTGCTATAGTAAACTTTCATATTTGATGGCAAATCTAAAGTTTCTTCTTGGGCTATTTGAAGATTCAGTATTTGATCTAAGGAGATCAGTAAGGATTATTTTGGTAATAGTCAAGAAATTATCAAAAGGGATATCAAGTACTAGCACTACTGAAATTTTGATGTGGCAAGCAAGTGGTTTACTAATACAATACTACCAGCTTTTTATAAAAATCAATTTGCATTATGGTTTTTCCAAGGATTGTGAATTTTATATTAAAGAATTGAAAAAAATTGTCTTTGAATCTGATTACTTGCCGGTTCATCAATTGCATTCATCTTTCTTGATGTTGGATTATGCGTTGTTGTCGAACAAGACTAAAATGATAAATGAGTGCTTTGATATGTCTCAATCACTACACAGTTCAATGGTAAATGATTTTGTGGATAAGGAGACGGAAATCTTAAATGATTGTGCCTGTGTAAAATATTATGGCAATAAAGACAACGGTACTAAAGTCCATGAATATTACGTGAAGTTATGCCATGAAATTTCATATTTAAATAAGCAATCAAATAGAGGAATTGATATTGATAACCCTTTGTTATCTATTTATAGTAACTTGGGCCCAAGAGAAATTTCAAAATATAATAGAATTCAATTGCAAATTGAAAACTTGATTGTCTCCAATCTTGATAATGACAATATTAGAAAATTTGACTATTTAAATCTCTTGAAACGTGTGGGTACAAAAAAATATGATGTCTCTTTGGATTGTATTGCATCAGCAAAGCAACATTTATTAAATGCTAAAAAATATTTGGCAAGTGATCCAGTATTAGCAGTGTTACAGGATTCTGCAATTTCTATTCCTTCTTTTGATGATGATGATTTAGTGGCCTCAACTAATGAGAAGCTACAAGTAGGTGACACGGCAACTAAACCTGTTCAAGAACTCATATTGTCAAGAGATGCTGTTCTTAATGGGAAATCTGATTTTATTACTTGTTCCTCTAACATCGAGTTATACGAAATTAGTTATATATTCACCTATTCGATTTCCTTGTTATCGGCAATCTCACACTTAACTATTGAGAGTCCGAATTCACAGGGACAAATATTGAACAAAATGTTCTATTTAAGTGAAGTTCCGAGGCAAGCACCATTCAAATATGAGAGAAGGCTTTCCCGGTATGAAGAGAACACTAAGGAATTAGTACCTCAACCGAAATTTGTTTCTGATACATCTGAGGATTTTAGCATTGATGGGATAAGTAAGGAAATAGAGCAATATCTACCAGAAAACTGGGATGTCATCACTATTGACATTTGTCCCTATACTGGTGATTTATTATTAAGTAAAATTGATTCAAATAAGCCGTCTCCATTCGTTGTTAGATTGCCATTGAATAGATTTTCTAGCAGAGATGTTAGTGAGGATTCGATTTCTTTTAAGGATGCCAAGAACGAGTTTTTAGAAATCATTTCTAAAAATAACGAATCAACAAAGTTTTCAAGAACCAACAAAATTGACGATATCGAAAGTAAGAAAAATTGGTGGAGAGCAAGATATAAATTGAATGCAAAACTAGAAAAGCTATTAAAAGACGTCGAGTTTTGCTGGCTAGGAGGTTTTAGAGGCATGTTCACTCAACATAAAGATGAAATATCAACTCCTGAAATAATAAATAAGTTCAAGACCAAGTTCATTAAGATCATTGAAGACAATTTACCATCAAGAAAGCAGATGAGACAAATATCATCTAAATTACAAAGATCCCATAGTGTGTCAGGGAATTTTCACCACTCTCGGTTTTCTGCTAAGGTTTTAAATGCCCAGAATTTTAAGGGCATTTCTCCTCCTGATATTGCTATTGATGATTCTGTTATACTATTGTTTTTAACTTTGGGAGATCCCGATAAACTTAAGGATACCGAGCTCTTGGAGGACTTGATCTACTTTGTATTGGATATCTTGTCTTTTCATGGCGAGGAAAATGCATATGATGAGATTGACATTGATCAGATTTATATTGATGTCGAAGCACTATTAAGAAGCTGTTACTTTGAGGCACAAGCTACCAAAAATAAGATTCGACATGCATCTACGGCACATACGGTTTTGGTGGTTGGTAAAACTTGCCAGAACTTACCTTGGGAATCTCTACCTTGTTTGGAGAAGTGCTCGGTGTCACGAATGCCCTCATTGAAATTATTATTGGAATCTTTGAAGAATCATCGTCCCAAAGATCGTGCTAGAATGGAACTTGATATCTCTAAACCCGGCTATTATATTTTGAATCCTGGACAAGATTTGACGAGAACTCAGGATGCTTTCGAGGAAAAATTGAAACAGAACCTAACTAGTTGGACTGCCAGGGTTGGTGAACCGCCCACGGAGTCTGAATATCTTGATGGCTTGATTCACTCCGATTTATTTATTTATATTGGCCATGGTGGCGGAGAGCATTATGTCAGAAACAGTAAATTGAAAAAGATCCCTTATTTGGAACAGAACACCCTAAAAAAAGATTGCGCAGCTGCTTTGTTATTGGGTTGTTCATCTGGCAGTTTATCTGATAATGGTCAGCTTGAGCCTAATGGTACAGTTTTCTCATATTTGATTGCTGGCTCGCCAATGATATTGGCGAATTTGTGGGATGTTACTGACAAAGATATTGATAAGTTTAGCATTTCGATGTTTGAACAATGGGGTTTATTTTCCACAGAAGAATCAGCTGAATCTAAGGACGAAAGAAATGGTTATAACATCTGTGAAGCAGTTGCCAACTCCAGGAAAGTTTGTTTATTGAAATATTTAAATGGTGCAGCTCCTGTCATTTATGGGCTTCCTTTTTACATTAAAAAATGACTGTATTATCTTCATATAATATTATTCTTGAACTGTACTATAGATGTGATTAATCAAATGGCTAAGATATATATATAGAGAACTTCCAGTGTAGAAAAAAAAAAAGGGTGTCAGTTTATTTAAATGTTCAAAAAAATCATTGAGAGAAGAGGGACAGTAATGCGTAGACCGGGAATCGAACCCGGGGCTCAACTATGGCAAAGTTGAATTTTACCACTAAACCATCCACGCAACTTATTTTTGATACATTCTTATAAACTTAGTGTGTTTTAATATCATGGAGCCGCCATTTTGGTATACTTGGATTCAATTATTCTATTGATTTTCATTATTTTTATTTTTATTATTTTCATTTTTATTGTCCCCCAGAATTCTGATGGTCACTACATTGAAAATACTTAGTATTTGAGATATAGTGCCAAAACCCCTCAACAAAGACCTCCATCTCAGTTCATGAAGCTCCTAGTGATGGGTAATTCACTAGTGACTTCATCTCATATTTTCACATTGCACCTTTTTTCCTTAATAATCTTGATTGTTGAGTTTTTTACCGGTGATATGATTTATTCTTAAAGCAAGGAGTGTGAGGTTGTGAGGAAGTTATAGTATTTTACTTACCTATTAGAAAGACCGGCATGAAATGCCCGGCTTGCATGTTATTTAGAACCTCTGTGACTCGTTAATATACAATTCATTCATTCATTCATTCATATTATACCAGAATAAAATGCCCGGCTTGCATGTTATTTACAACTTCTGTGACTCATTAATATACAATTTGATTTGATTTGATTTGGTATTTTGATTTTAAGAATGGCAGCAAACAAGAGCAACTCAAAAGAGACGTCTCCAAAGCATCAACAACATTGACCAGAATCACACCCGCCCTGGACCCAAAGCAAAGAAGATTTTGGAAACAAATTAACCAGATCAAAAGGTTGGTACCTGGTTCAATTGAGCGCCTCCATTTCATGATGTTGGGCCTCACATTGTTCAAATCCACAAATTAATGATGCCACGTTTGTAACTTTCCTCCAGAAAATTGGGACACCAGTACCAGGGATCCTGACCATATCAAAGAAGCCTACATCATCCACTACTACATTGCATAGTATCAAGAAACTTGTGGAAAATATTGAAAATGGGAATATCTCAAACATGGGATAACATCAGCAACAAATTAAAAAATACCATAAAACAAAATAAAAATAAAAATAAAAATATCTTAAAGGGGGTTTTTAGTGAGTAGAAATCTCACACTGTTGAATATTAATCTAAAAAATTGAAATTCTTCGTCTTTTGAAGATTTTCCTCCTCAAAACAAAGAGCAAGTTTTTATAATTATATACTTATGAGATTTAATATAAATCGAAATTATTTGAAAAAAAAAAAAAAAACATAACCGTAAATAAAAACAATTCGTATTGTAAATATTATTAACTTGATTTTTTATTAACATAATATATAAGGAATAAGGGGTTTAGTACCTCTTTGAATAGATAATGAGTATAGAATAGTATTTATGAGATAAGGAATAAGATAAGGAATAAGGTAGTGAGTAAGATAGTGAATAAGATAAGAAATAAGACAGGAAATGCAATGGCTACTAGTGCGATTGGTACTAAGAATGAGATAATAAGTAATTGATTAGGTAATAAATGAACAATACTGGTGGTATATGTTACACGTATATAAATATATAATATGGTGAAAAATCCATTAGTGATAATTGTTAATATTTAAATAAAATGTTTTTTGTTATTGTTTTTGTTGATAATTTTTTGTTTTGATTGACTAGTCAGCTCCCAGTAGTAATATGTTAGAATTCTACAGGTCTACAAAGTACCTCAATATATATAAAGACGAAGCAAACGCATCCACGTATAATAACAAACACTTTAGATAATACAGTTAAATATAAGGACAGTAGTAAGGACAGTAGTAAGGACAGTAGTAAGGACAAACAGCACGACACCTAGCAACCTTAAACCAATAATGGCTGTAAATATAATCTTGATAGCAACGAGTATAATATTTGTTAGTAGAGATCTAATGATCTAGCTCCCAGTATGAGACCCCTTGATTGTTAGATCTCGGAAAAGCGACATCAGAGCAGTTTTACTAGAAGAGGAAATTACTGTACATAAGAGTCAGGCTTTTTTCAGGTTGGAAAAACATCGTTCCACTATAGTACACAAAATCACATGAAGTACCCTTAAGTTAAGAGACAAAATCAAACTATTGGAGCTTGCTTAAATCTGCATTTCAACAGTTTTTATGCCTATCTTTGGTACAGCTTGATTGTCACCAGGAACCAAGATTGTGACTATAAATTTGGTAGAAGTCTTGAGTTGAAATCAGATGAGATGTTCCCCTACTTATCTTTGGTCCAATTTGGTTATGACTACCTACTGGCAAACCCCTTTTATTTAATATCATATTTTCGATGCTTTTACCAGGAGCTGCAACAATAAAAGTTGTTTCTGTCTATTCGGTGTCTTTACAGTTTGTCACTAGCTCTAGCTTGGTTATAATACAAAGGGGTAAAGTGATTTTTTTTTTTTTAAAATAAGGCACCAATTTATTATTATTATTATATTATACCCGAATACCTAAAGGGAAGAGAGAAAAAAAAAAAGTTGACTTTGGCGCATTTGTGAAGAAAAAACCATGAAAATAACATATCAGGATTGAAGGAAACAAGAACTATTGATGATGCACACAAAAAAGCAGGAAATACAAAACAAAACAAGGATAACATAGTGACTCAGGTCAGAAATAGTTAAATATATGACAGGGAATTCTGACTATTTTCCCTTATCAAATATTGATGAAAAATCACTTCCAGAGAGGCTAGGGGTGAAACGAGGCTCTTTCTGCACACTTTCTTTCGTATTTAGCTTTAATGACTGTATTACTTCTTTTTTCGATCTATTTTGGCTGGTATTTTTGGTCTGATATTGTTGGGCGATAACCTTATTTATATTGGACGTGGTCATTACGGACTTAGTAGCCGCCATGTTGATGATGGCCCTTTCCTCTCCTTCAAAATTATAAATGTAATGATTTTGTGGGTTTTTATTTGAAAAGTAGCCATCTATAGGGGTTTCTGGCGCCATGCTCATCATCACATTGTCAGTGAAAGCTTCACGGACTTCAAAGGCACTGGCGGCAAATACATTACTGAACTCGGCATCGTCGTCTAAAATCATTTCAAAATCGGTATCCGCGGATTCTCTTTTTAGTTTAGAACTGGGATGGCTTGTCACTCGTGTGTGTCGGGACTGAGGTTCTTCCCTTAAAGACGTGGCGCCGTTGTATTGGTTCATCATCTCGTTGAAGTCGCATTCGTCAACGACTCTAATGTCTGCGGTAGGGGAAAGTGAGAAAAGATACAAACATTTAGGGTTAGTAATATTTGGATTTGAGTATTGCAAGTTGTTTTGGTCCATGGTAATTGGATTATTGGAACAGTTATAGCTGTTGAACTGTGATAGCTCGCTTCGCAGGCGCTTATGCTGGCCAGGAAATTTGCCAGAACTGTTATTTTGAGAATTGTTCATATTTTTAGAAGGTTCAGATAAAGTCAAGATAGCATACAATAAGGTCAAAATACATGGTTTATAAGCATTTATTTGACGTTTCCACAGGGATTTCATGCGGTGATGACGCCAGATCCATATCTGGGGAGTGACACAAGACGTGCATTGTTGGGATTGGTCATAGCCCTCAATGATGACAATACTCATGCGGATTCAGACACTAATCCACGAGGATCGAGTCTATGTGTAAAACGTGCTTAAATGAGAAGAGCATTCAGGCATCGACAAATTATCGATAGTCTAGAAGTTTTTTAACGGGTCCATATTCATTAGATACATTTGGGTGTTTACATAACATAAACACCGCAAAAAATAAAATAAACTAAAGATTAGATTGCTTATTGTATCAGGATTACCAAGACAGCATGAGTATTAACCTTCTTCTTTTTTCAGCGTTTGGCACTGCCTGGTTGGGTATTTAACCATACCCCAGTCGTTAAAATATAAATGATTATATATAGCTCCCTACGGAAAAGGAAGTAAATGGTGAGTACATAAAAGTAAAGCCCCGTAGCCAAAACCCGGAGCCTCGTCATCTCAACAAATACACGGCTGGCCGGAGGACATCTTTCTGTTTGCCCTCTTGGTTGTTATCAAGAAGTAGTACCGTTTTTGACTGGTTTGCAAGGGTCCAAGAAATAATAAATAAAAAGCACGATAGTTTGTCTGTCCGGTTTCGCCTTTTCCGGAGAGGCACTTCCGCGCAGGCATCCAGACGCCCTCCCCGACACTCGGGTCACCCTGCCTAATGATTTATTTGCTGTCTTTTTCTTGACAAATTGGATCAGGGCATTTGCCCCATAACAAACACATCCTTCAAGAATATTACTCTAAACAAAACTTCCAGCTCCATTGCGTCTATAGATCGTTGTTAACCCTAAACCATGGCTAACGACATCCCTATAGAGTTCACGGAACTCACCAATCTCATTGACAACTATGGGATATCCCCAACGAATATAGACTTCAAATCGTGTACTTTGTCTGATTCTTTCATATCCATCAAAGAAGACAAATCCGTTGCCATCATCCCGCTAGATGCTAACAACAATGCCCAATCTTTGGTCAGAAAGAACATGAATGCTGATAATATTATAATGCACCCAAGTGAAATGATCATTGCCTTGAGATCGGGTTCAACAATGCAAGTTTTCAACTTGTCCACAAAACAGAGATTGGGCAACTACACTTTGCCAAACCCAAGTGAAGCCATTGTATTCTGGAAGTGGTTGTCTCCACAAAACATTGCCGTTGTCACCACCACTAATTTGTACAACTGGAATATTTCTTCTCCTGATTCCTCTCCAGTTCTAATCACCAGCAAAAACCAACTTTTAAACTCTTGTCAAATCATTAATGTCACCGCCAACCAGGAAATGTCTTGGTTTGCCATCAACGGTATTTTCCAAGAAAACGGCAAGATCGCTGGTAAGATTCAATTATTTTCCAAGGCAAGAAATATCTCTCAAATAATTGATGGGCACGTCTCGGGCTTTTCTCAATTGAAATTATCTGGTGCAGTTTCTCCTTCTACCCTATTTATTATTGGTAACAGAAATCCAACTACCGGTGCCGGAAACATGCACATTATTGAGATTGATCACAACCCATCGAACCCAACTTATTCTAAGAAGAACATTGACATTTTCTTCCCAGCCGATGCCTCTAATGATTTCCCAATTTCCTGTCAAGTGTCTGAAAATTATGGCATTGTTTACATATTGACGAAGTACGGGTTCATCCATCTATTCGATTTGGAAACTGGCTTGAACTTATTTGTCAACAGAATAAGTGCTGACCCATTATTCACTGCTTCTTCCCACTCAAACAATGGTATTTTGACGATCAACAAAAAGGGTCAAGTGTTATCTGTGGATATCAACAAAGGCACCATCATCCCATATGTTTTGAAAAAGTTATCCAATGTTTCTTTGGCTTTGGCTTTGGCTAGTAGAGGCAACTTGCCAGGTGCCGAAACTCTTTTCACCCAACAATTTGAAACTTTATTAGGATCTGGTGATTATGTTGGTGCGGCTAAAGTCGCAGCTGGTTCTCCACAATTGAGAACACCTCAAACTATTGACCGCTTAAAGAATATTCAAGCTGTCCCTGGTCAAATTTCTCCAATCTTGCAATATTTCTCCATTTTGTTGGACAGTGATAAATTGAACAAATATGAATCTATTGAGTTGGGAAAGCCAGTGTTACAACAAAACAAGCAACAATTATTTGAAAATTGGTTGAGCCAAGACAAGATCACTTTCTCCGAAGAATTGGGTGACGTTGTCAAGCCTTACGATTCTAAGTTGGCCTTGAAAATTTATTTGGGTGCGTCAGGCAATGGCGAAAATGCTACTCCCTCTGTCAATAACAAGATTATTTTGTGTTTAGCTGAATTGAACCAATTTGATAAAATTTTGCCATACTGTCAAAAAGTTGGTTTCACTCCAAACTACTTGATTTTGATTCAAATGATTTTGAGATCCAATCCTGACAAGGCTGTGGAATTTGCTAATCAATTGATTGCCAATCCTGACGCTGCTGTTGAATTAGATTTGGAAAAAGTGTCAGATATTTTCTTCAGTTCTAGTCACATTCAACAAGGTACCGCTTTCTTGTTGGAAGGTTTGAAGAACGATCAGCCAAGTGAAGGTCACTTACAAACTAGATTGTTGGAAATTAACTTATTGCACGCTCCTCAAGTTGCTGAAGCCATTTTATCTAACAACATGTTTAGTCATTACGACAAACCAACTATTGCTAAGTTGTGTGAAAAACAAGGTTTGTACCAAAAGGCCTTGGAAAATTATGTTGATTTGAAGGATATCAAGCGTTGTATTATCCACACCGAAGTTTTGCCAACCGATTGGTTAATTAGTTATTTTGGTCAATTGAATATTGAACAATCTTTGGAATGTTTGAGAGAATTGTTGAGTTCCAACGTTCCAACTAACTTACAAATTGTTATCCAGGTCGCCACTAAGTTCTCTGAATTGATTGGTTCTGGCACTTTGATCAAGTTGTTTGAAGAATTCAAGAATGTTGAAGGTTTGTACTACTACTTGTCTTCTATTGTTAACATAACCGAAGATGAGAATGTCGTTTTCAAATACATTCAATCTGCTGCCAAATTGCAACAATTCAAAGAAATTGAAAGAATTGTTAAAGACAACAACCATTATAATGGCGAAAAAGTTAAGAACTTCTTGAAAGAAGCCAAATTGCCAGATCAGTTGCCATTGATTGTGGTTTGTGACAGGTTTAATTTTGTTCACGACTTGATTTTATACTTGTACAAAAACCAATTCTTCAAGTTCATTGAAGTTTATGTCCAACAAGTCAATCCATCAAGAACTCCTGAAGTCATTGCTGGTTTGTTAGATGTTGATTGTGATGAAAACATCATCAAGAACTTGTTGTCTACTGTGATTGGACAAGTTCCTCTCGATAAATTGGTGGAGCAAGTTGAAAGCAGAAACAGGTTGAAGATCTTGTTGCCATTCTTGGAAACGACTTTGAATCAAGGCTCTCAAGACCCTGTCTTATTCAATACCTTGGCCAAGATTTACATTGATTCCAACAATAACCCAGAAAAATTCTTGACCGAAAATAGCATCTATAACACTTTGGAGGTTGGTAAATATTGTGAAAAGAGAGACCCATACTTGGCTTATATCGCTTATTCTAAGGGTGGTAATGATGATGAATTGATCAACATCACCAACGAAAACTCCATGTTCAAGTACCAGGCCAGATATTTGTTGAAGAGATCTGATTTGGATCTTTATTCAAAGATTTTGAGTGATGACAACATGTACAGAAGAGAATTGATTGACCAAATTGTCGGTACTGCCATTCCAGAATTGAATGATCCAGAACCAATTTCTTTGGCTGTTAAGGCTTTTATGGATAACAATTTGCCAGTGGAATTGATTGAATTATTGGAAAAAATCATTTTGGAACCAGATGCAGCGTTCGCCGAAAACCCATCACTACAAGGTTTGTTGATCTTGACTGCCATTAAGGCTGAACCATCAAAGGTATCTTCCTACGTTGAAAAATTAGACAAATTTGATGCTCAAGAAATCGGGACTCTTTGTGTGGAAAATGGTTTGAATGAGGAAGCTTATCAAATCTACGATAAATTTGAAATGTATTCCGACGCTTTGAAGGTAATCGTGGAAGATATCATGTCCTTGGATAGAGGTGAAGACTATGTCAACAAGATCGATACTCCAGAATTGTGGTACCAATTGGGTACTGCTCAATTGAATGGCTTGCGTATTAGTGAATCTATTAATTCTTATATCAAATCCGGTAACCCAAGTAACTTTGATCAAGTTATCGACATTGCTGAACACGCTGGTAAGTTTGAAGAACTAGTTCCATATCTCAAGATGTGTAGATTGACATTGAGAGAAGCCAAGATTGACGGTGAAGTGATTCTTTGTTATGCTGAATTAAACAAGATCAACGAAATTGAACTCTTTTTGAGAAATGATTCCAACGTTGCTGATTTGAATGAAATTGGTGACAAGTTATTTGACATGAAGAATTATGCCGCTGCTAAGATCTTATATGAAAACGTTTCCAATTACTCCAAGTTGGCCACCACTTTGGTTTACTTGAGTGATTATCAAGGTGCCGTTGACTGTGCTAGAAAGGCTTCAAATATCAAGGTTTGGAAACAAGTCAACCACGCTTGTGTTGCTAATAAGGAATTCACTCTTGCCCAAATTTGTGGCTTGAACTTGATCATTGATGCTGATGAGTTGGATGAATTAGTGAAGCAATATGAGACTGAAGGTTACTTCGATGAATTGATGAACTTGTTTGAATCATCTTTAGGGTTGGAAAGAGCTCATATGGGTATGTTTACTGAATTGGCAATCTTGTACGCCAAGTATGCTCCAGCTAAATTGATGGACCACTTAAAGTTGTTCTGGTCAAGATTGAACATTCCAAAGGTTTTGAAAGTAGTTGAGTCTTTCCACTTGTGGAACGAATTGATTTTTCTTTATAGCCATTACGATGAGTGGGACAATGCCATTTTGACCATGATTGATAAAGCTGCTGATTCATTTGATCATTTGAAATTCAAGGAAATGGTTATCAAAGTCTCCAACTTGGAAATTTACTACAAGGCCATCAACTTCTACATGAATGAACATCCAAACTTGATCGTTGATCTTTTAACTTCATTGACTCTACGTATTGACATCAACAGAGTTGTGAGAATATTTTCCAAGTCCGATAACTTGCCAATGATCAAACCATTTTTGATCAATGTTTTGGACAAGAACTTGACTGTTGTCAACAATGCCTACCATGACTTGTTGATTGAAGAAGAAGATTACAAGGCTTTGCAAGCTGCCATTGATGGTCATGACAGATTTGATTCTATTGACTTGGCATCAAGATTGGAAAACCATGAATTGATTTTCTTTAGAAGAATTTCTGCTATCTTGTACCGTAAAAACAAGAAATACAACAAGGCAATTTCTATTCTCAAGACAGACAAATTGTGGAATGACATGATTGAAACTGCTGTCGTCAGTGATAGCGCCAAAATTGCCCATGAATTGTTGAAATACTTCATTGAAGTCGGAAATAAGGAATGTTTCATTGGCTTGTTATTCAAGGCTTACCATTTGATGGAGTACGATTATGTCTTGGAGTTGTGCTGGTTAAATGGCATCTCCAATGATTACATCAAGCCATATGAAATTTCTATTAAGAAGGAACAAGTTGATAGAGTCAATGAGGTGTACAAGGACTTGAAAGATAGACAGGCTAGAGAAAAGGAGTTAGAAGAAAAGGGAACTATTGGTGGTCCGGCTCCCCAATTGTTGTTAACTAATGGTGTCACTGGTATGGGATACCAACCAACAGGTGCTGGTTTCGGTAATGGTTTTTAATTATAAGGTCATGAACACAGACCATTCAAAGTGAAAGATGAAAGTCATTTTTCTTTCACTCTTTCACTCTTTTCCTTTTTTTTCCTTTTTTCCTCTTTCCTTTCTATATTTCATCTCATTTTGATTTTTTTTTATTTCCTTTCTTTTATATTTATGTGTGCAAAATTTTTGAAAATAAAAATATAGTAATGTATTAAAACTTTAATTTTAGTATAGATGGACAAGGTATTATTTTTAGGAGTCGCATATATTGGGTTCTATTGTTGTGATACAAGGTGTCCTTTTGAGTGAGGATTCATGTTTTTAATTTACGATTTTCTATTTCTCAGTTAAAATTATCGTTTCAATAACTTCTCACGCAAAAAAAAATCATCTAATTGATGTATCAAGTGTATTCATTCGTAAAATCGTAAAAAAATCTCAGATTTAGAGTCTGGGGATCAATCAAAACTATTTACATTAACGATGTTTCATATCATTCTGTGTCACTCAAGCAAGCCCCAAGTTTGTGGAAACTTCTGTTGAAAAACAACAACCCTCCGCTTTTGGTATTTTGATGGAAGTCAGTATGAATCAATATATCTCTGACCTCTCCTATCCAAAGCTCATGGTCATCGACCTTGAAGACCCTATCCTTGGAGCATATCAATATTCTTTCTGCCGATGATAACAATGGAATGTCTAATTTCTCTTTTGATAGTTCCATTGAAGTGGTATTACGTCGCTCATCACTTATGGAATAGTAGGGCGACGATACCAAGATATTTTTTGTACTATACACTTGCGAACTGAATATAAACTGTTCAGGTTTCAAGTCTATGAAAGGTTTTGTTGAGAGTTTCCCAAAGTCACTATTCTTGTTGTCGGCATGGTGATTTTTAGATAAATATTTTGAGCCTTTGCTAAAAGTTTTCACTAGCTCAACCGAGCCTTTCACTGGAGGTAATAGATGAATTGCAAACCAGCGAAGATCGTGGAGTTTGGCGCTGGTGGATGAAGGAACTTGGAGGTTAAATTGGATCAAGGTCCTGGGTTGGACAGATAATGAAACAACCGATGACAAGGTCATTCCGTGGAGATCATCAAGGGTTTCAGCTGATGCCGACAAGCCCCCAGGTCCCTTGGCCTTGAAAGCTGATGTTAGTATCATAGCCTGATTTGCTGTTCTTGACATACTTTCTTTATAAGAGGCAACATGTAGGTTATCTTCCAAAGGGTGGCTTTTGATTTGTTGCTTCTGATGATGCTGAGTATGGATGTTTCTATATCTAAGACTATGCATCCCAGCCAGAGAATATCTCGGAACCCTCTCTAGCAGAATGTATTTTCGGCTCCTTGTAATGCTAGTTATACCCGTGCGATTCATCTTATATTCACTTCGTTGTATACGTGTATATATATACAAATACAAAGGATGAATTTTCCACACAAAAAAAAAAAATGGAACCCGCTGTCATGGTATATGGACGGGTAAATGAAATTGGATCTTTTATTTTTTTTTTTATTTTTTATTTTTTATTTTTCATAGTGACAGTCATCAATCAACACCGCAGACAGCAAAGCAGTCCATATCTTTACGGAAAGCATGGCATTGAACCGCAGAGTTAAGATTAGACCACCCAAAAGGGTATGTTTTATGATATCTTTCTGTGCATACTTGACTTTATCTAGGGTGGCCAATTACTAACAAGCACAGAACTTGAATGATGGTGTCGATATAGAAAAGTCTTGGAATGTTTTGTCATTTGCAATTTCTGAAATTTACAACAAAAATGCGTCTAATCTTTCCTTTGAGCAGTTGTATAGAAAATGTTATCATTTAGTATTGAGAAAACAGGGGGAGCAGCTATATAATAATGTCAAGGCTCAGTTACGTAACCATTTACTCGATAAGAGATCTGGATTGGTGGAGATGATAAAGTCGACATTGGGCAGCTCTACACTACAAGCCTCAGTACCTTTCAAGGCCGATATATTAGTTCAAGTCAATAAAGATTGGGAGGATCATTGCTTGTGTATGAGGATGATCAGTGACGTACTAATGTACATGGATAGAGTATATGTGAAGGAATCACAGTTACCTATGATATATGATGTGGGTATAACCCTTTTCCGAGACTATGTTATCCAATATAATAATAATGAGATCGGTACAATATTGAATCATATTCTCATGAGTGGCATATCCAGTAATAGAAGTGGTCGACTAGTTGATAAGTTTTTGATTAAATCAATAATTAAGATGTACGAATCGTTGGTTGGAGACAATGACATTGGTGTCAATAAAAATAGCGATTATGAAGAAAACTACTATCTAAAGAGCTTTGAGCCTTTTTTTATGGAAAGATCGTTTGCGTATTACCTGGAATTGTCAAATGATTTGACGAAATTGGAAAATGGATTGAATTATATCACCAGGGTCAATGAAATAATAATTGAGGAAGAAAATATGTCTGTGATTTATTTACCAAAAGTAACGTTCCCCAAGCTAATTCAATTGCTTGATGGTATATTGTTGACAAATAACATTGCTAAGGTTGTCGATTTCAAGGATCAGGGCTTCAATTTTTGGGTTCTAAATGATGAGTATAAACAATTGAATTTATTGTATTCATTAGTTTCAAGAATAGACAAAAGTTATGGATTCATACAAGCAAACTTGAAGAAAATAGTATTAGAAGAAGGCAGTTCTCTAGAGGCAATTACAAAAGAATCGGTGCGTAACAATGTGAATGACACTAAAAAGAAAAGAGGCCCCAAAGAGAATTTGACGCAATATGCCATTGGATGGATTGAAAATGTTTGCAAGCTCAAGGAGAAGTTCGACATAATTTTAGAGAAGGGCTTCAAGAATAACACCGATATTCAATCTTCTATTGAAAGCTCGTTTGTGGAATTCCTCAACCAATGTCCAAAAACTGGCGAATATCTTTCCTTGTTTATTGATAGTAACATTAAAAAATCTTCCAACAATAAAACGGAAGAAGAGTGTGAAAAGGTATTGGATAAATGCGTGATCGTTTTTAGATATCTAAAGGACAAAGATCTTTTTGAAAAGTACTTTAAAAATCACTTAACCAGAAGGTTATTGCAACAAAAATCAATGTCGATTGATCTTGAAAGGTCTATGATATCAAAATTAAGACAAGAGGTTGGTTCACTTTATACATCAAAATTGGAAGGAATGTTTAGGGATATGAAGGTTTCCAAAGATTTATCACTAGAATTTGGTAATGACAAAAAGACAAATTTTGAGGCTAATATTTTGACAACCACGTTTTGGCCCCTTCAGATAAATAAAGATGATGACCAGGTGATATATCCGGATGCTTTGGTTGAACTTAAAGAGGGCTTTGAAAAATTTTACCTTGGGAAACACAGAGGACGGAATCTAACATGGGCACCGAATTTTGGTTCGGTCGACATTAGAACTAGATACAAGAAGAGGGCTTATGAAATCAATATGCCAACTTATGCCGGTATAATCATGTTACTATTTGAATATCATGGGTCATTAACCTTTGAGGAGATCCTGGAAATGACTAACATCCCGAAACAGGATCTTACTAGACACTTGCAAAGTATTTCAGTAGCGCCTAAAACAAGATTGTTAAAGAAAATACCAATGACCAAGGAAATTAATCCTGCTGATAAGTTCATTATCAATGAAAATTTTGAATCTAGCACGTCGAAATTCAAGGTTTTAACAGTTTCGTTGTCTAACAAGGTTGAGAATGATAATGAAAGAACAGAAACTATGGCCAGCATAAATAATTCAAGAAAGTTCGAAGTTGACGCAGCAATAGTTAGAATTATGAAGTCTAGGAAAACTTTGAGTCATAATGAGTTGATAGCCGAATTAATCAAACAATTGAATAACAGGTTTAACCCGCCGCCATCGTTCATTAAACAGCGAATTGAATCACTATTGGAAAGAGAGTATCTTGAAAGAAACTCAGAAAATAGATCCGTTTATACTTACCTTGCGTGAATATATAGAATTGTTTTTTATTTGAGATACTTGCCATTTAATATTTTTACAACTTGTTGTGACGAGTAGGCAGACCACGAAGATGGTAAGCCAGGAACCGGGCCGAGTCAGTCGCCAATGGTAGCTAGTGCCCCTTTGGGCGAGCCTGTTATAAATAGTGAACGTGTGTCCTGATCTTATGTATGTGTATATGAATAAAAGGACTATTCGATTCTATACTTATCCTGCATAATCTGCGTCATGTTAATTTTTAACTTCGATAGTTCAAATATCTTGGTTTGTAAGACACGTATATACGTAAATGTAATATATCGACTCAAAGATCTAATGAATATTTATTTAGTTTATTTGCTTTTCATGATTCTAATAAAATGGTTAGTAATATAACATTGATATTACTGTGGTCTGTCGTCTTGTATCGAAAGAGAAAAAAAAAAAAAAAAAGCGCTTTTTGGTTTGGATTCGCTAGCTGAGCTAGTGTCACCCATCACCATCTCCTTGGTCTGTCTACTCGTCACACTACATATATTTTATAATGAGACTCATTTTTACTAATTAATCTAATCAAAGACCTGTTTGAAACTGTCGAATACTATGAACATTGAGACATTAGTAGCTAATGAATCCGGAGAGATCTCGCTTATGCTATCATCAACTGAGTTATCTCTGCACATCTTAATATAATACTTTGGTAGTTATTATTACAATATTTAGACTAGGGGCTATATATTCCTTACTGACATAATATATTCTTAGCTCCCTTCTAAACTTTTCGGTAAGAATATTATCGTACTAACTATAAATAATATCTCCTCTTCTTGGTCATTTACTGCCATAGTATACCTTGACGATGGTATTTAAGTCATTTCTCTGATCAATCCTAAGTATGGTACCAATACTGGATTGCACTGACGTTGCTACATTGCTGGTTCTAGACTGTATTTGATTAGTAATAGCAACCGTAATTTAGCAAGTCAGGAGCAAGGAGCAATAATCTAGATAATGATGTAATGAGTAAATGAGTTCAGCTAATTATTCCAATGATCCTGACATTGCTGATGCACTGAACACTTCAACTAATTAGTCTGATTTGGCTTCTACTGCGAATCAACAAGCGGGTGATATTAGCTCAGCTAGCGAATCCCATTATTTACTAGCAATCATTAAATAGCAATAAACAGTGTTTTGGTACTATACCTATTAGATGGTACTATACCTATTAGATGGTTCTTAATCCGTATTGCCGTATTGGACTAGTATCAACACAATTGTAATGGTTTGGTTGGGTAACATAGTAGTTAAAGTATATTAAAGAAGAATAAAAACTAAAAGGAATAGATGAAGTAAGCTTTTTATAGGTGAGAAAAGAAAGTAAGACTTACCTAAAAAGGAACTCAAAGGGAAATAAAAAGGTAGTCGGAGATAAGGAGGTTGTCCGAGATAAGGAATGGAGTTAAATAAAGAAGAGAGAAGAAAAGATAAGAACAATAAAAAGAAAGAAAGAGAAAGAAAAGTAAAAAAGTGTCTAGATCATTACACCCCTGTCGTAATTCCTTTCCTTATAGCTTAGCAAGCAATTCAGGATGTGTTTCAGCGTAGGATTGTAATAAATCAGGAGCTGTTTTCTTAAGTTCCGACATACGAACCCATTGGTAATTATCATGAATATCTTCACCTAAAAATTTAATGTAAATTAAGAAACCTTTGGCTTTGCGCTGGTGTTTGACCAATCTTTCAATTTCTACTTCTGTGGAGCCATCCTTGTATTGCTTCAAGTGAACCTGTTGGTTATTATCAGGCGAGAGGAAACCTTCAGGGACAGCGGATTTTAAACGAAGTTGAGAAACGTGGAAAACATCAGACATTTTGTAGGAAGGTGGTAGCTCAATTTGGTAATTGACTTCGGTGAGTTTTTTTGAGGATTTTGAATGGTCCAACGAATTTGGTGCGTAATGAACGGACTTGATTCTTGTTGTGAACATCGCCAAACGTAGGTCTCGATGAAGCATTGATAAAGACTTCATCATCTGGATGGAACTCTATGTGTTTGTGTTTGGAGTTGTAGGATAAACGTTGCTTGGTGTGTGCTTCGTGGAGGGCAGCTTGAGCAGCTTGAGAGTATCTATCGAGGGTTTCAACAATATGAGTAGCAGATCTCTCCCCCCCCCCCCTTGTTGAAAAAGCAGGAGTTGGGAAGGAAAAGTGGGAGTATACCCAAGGTCGACTTCAAAAGGAGTAAGATTATTGAGGGCGGTTGAGGGAGTTGAATTGATGGTGTACTCTGCGAAAGGGAGAAGTTCAATCCACAGGTTGTTCTCATCAATGTAAAGGCGTAAAAAGTCTTGAAGGATTCTGATGTGTCGTTCTGCTTTGCCATTGCTCTGGTGGTGACGGACAACGGACTTATAATGTTCGATGTGCAAAAGCGAGAAGAGAGAATCGATCAACTTATTGTCAAACTGGGGACCGCGGTCGGAAACAAGGCAGTTTGGTACTCCGTGGTACGGAAAATATTCAAAGAGGAGTAGCTGAGCGAAAGCACTAGCATCGAAAAGTTTGTTGACGGGGTAAAAGTGAGTCCGAGAAGTAAATGTATCAACAAGGACGAGGACAGAATCAACTGTGGTACCGGCATGTTGGGTTGATGGGAAACCAGAAACAATATCTAATGAGATGTCAGACCAGCGACCAGATGGAGGAGGAGTGGTTTGTTGATGACCATGTAGATAGTGTGGAGATTTGACACGGTTACAAGTGTCGCAACTAGCAACATAATGACTAACAACGTCTCTCATCTTTGGGAAGAAAACTGCCTTTCTCAAGATATGGCTCATTCTTTCAATACCAGGATGACCTTGTGATAGGGGAAGGTGAGCAGCATCTAGGATGGATTTGAGCAAGGAGTGTGGGATACAAGTTCGGGTATCCTTGTAAAGGATACGGTGATCAGTGTCAGTGTAGAAACCAGCTTTGTCAGGAACTGTTGTGGCTTTCTTGAAAATTTCCTTGAAAAATGGATCCTCTTTGTAGTCGTTTGGTTTAATTTGATATTTTGAAGGATCAATAGCGACTTCAGTGGAAGGGTGAGCTGTAGTATTATTCGCATGAAAACATGACGGTTGGTAATTGTCATAGCGAGAGAGGAAATCAGCGGAATCGTTCTTAAAACCAGGTAAGAGATGGATCATGAGACGAAAAGAGAGGATTTCTGAAAGCCAGCGGTGATGTTTTGGTTCAGGGGTTTCACTCTGAAAGATCTGGGAGAGCGGACGATGATCGGTATAAATATTTTACTGGATTAATATAAACAATAACTTAATAAAGTTAACAACGTAGAATTATCTTAAATCAGATATTCTTAGACTCCATCCGCCGCTACCACCAACGGGATAGATAATACACTACCACAAGCCATAATCATCCGAAGTCGACAGTAACAAATAATACGAATAAGGGTGAAGAGTTATTCCTTTTAGTATAATAATACTTATCTTCGCTGACTTCGGCAGGTATGAACACAGTAAGGTACATTATTATTTAGTATAAATAAAATGGGTGAATAATTAATTGGTTCAATATCAAACAACATAGTAAGGGGGTGGTGGGAATTTTCAACGATAAAAATATGGACAATAAAATTAGTTGAAATAGCGCGGCTATAAAGGTACTATTAAACAAGCCCACTACACAAACTCGAACAACTATTTATAGATTCAAGTGAAGAAAAAGGAACAATTGTTTGAATTTTAATATGTTTTCCGATACCGGGAGTCGAACCCGGGTTTGCTCGGTGAAAGCGAACCGTGCTAGCCGTTACACTATATCGGATTTTCTGATTTGTTATATTACAATGCGACTATAATAGATGTAGTTAGTCACGGGAAATCAAAACCACCACAAAATGAACTGAGCAATTTATGGAAGAATCCATTCCACCAATTGGGATTAATATCCAAAGAAAGAGATGACGATTATGAAAATATCCAAACTACCACACCAGCTATCAACAGAAAGCATCAAATCACCCCTCCTCCGGTTAATCAAGTTAGAAAGGCCTCCAAAAAGAAGGCATCCGTCAAACCAAAGAAAATCCTTCAAAGGGATAAACCAGCTGAAACCAAACAAGACTCGGCCAAACCAGAAATTAAGTTGAATGTGTTTAGATCCCATCCAACTATCCCAAAATCTAATCAAACCTTGTCCAACCCAACTTCTACCCCAGCTTCTACTCCAAAATCTACCCCAAAATCTACCCCAATCTCTACCCCAATTTTGACCAAAATTAACACCACCAAGCCTTCAGCACCAAAACCATTTGTACCAAAATCTATTAAGTTAGTCATTAAAGACCCACTCCCATCAGTGACATCAAAACTGGCACAAACTGGCTCTAAAGAGCCAACCCTGTCTGAATCAAGTGCAGAACCTGATAATGATAATGACGAAGAATATGATGAGGAGTATGAAAATGATGGAGAATACATCTATGATGCAAAAGACGAATATGAGGATTCAGAAGAATATGAGGAGGATGAAATGCTACTGGGTGATGAAATTCCAGTACATGAGAAAACAGAATTAACACCAACCAATGATGATTTGTCAACTCTGGAAGCTGATGCAACCAGAAACAAACAGACAAATCAAAATTCCAATGAATAAACATAATGATTATTAAAATCAATACTCAAAATATACAACGGAGTCGTATCAGCGACCAGTTGGTAATAAGTTTCACCCAAAAATCCAATGTGTCTTTGCTCCAAGAACTAAATCTATCAGAAGACTTTTCGTTTCAGTTCGATAACAAAGTCATATACTATAATTCAACCTGTTCCAGAACAGCAATAATTGTTGATGATTCTATTCCAGTGTTAGGATCCAAATTAGCAGGTATTACTGTCCAACATGAACTCCAAAAACACATCACGGATGTCTTAATTGAATTAGAAAATAACCAAGCACTCTGGATTATAAACTTGTATAATCCAAATCAATAC